AGAGAGAGAGAGAGAGAGAGAGAGAGAGAGAGATGTGCACAGGCCAAGGGGACAGTAAAGAGAGATTCAAGATGGCGGGGGCCGGGGTTGGGGGGATCATGGGGGAGTGGGCGTGGCTTGTCCCTTAAAGGGACCAGAGACCAAAACACCCACCCTAGCAGCTACTACAAGTCCCGAATAAACACTTAGAATTTGTTGAGATTGCCCAAAACAGTCTTTTGAAAAACTGTCCAGGATTAGGGAGATGACCCAAAGGATAAGCCTGGGGACCAGAGGTCAATACCAGGGACCCACATGGTGGGTGGAAGAATGGAACTGATTCCTGTAAGTTGTTTTCTGACCTCCACATGCACATTCATTTGTGTGCACACACAAATAAATAAATAAATATAATACAAATTTTTAGAAGAAAAAAAATTTACCCCGCCATCCTTAGGCTTCTGATTTCCTTTTTTTCTTTTCCTACTGGAAAGGGGGAGGGCAAAGTCAGAGATCCTAAGTAGGCAAACACAGGGAAGGTAGCCAAGCTCGCTCTCTCGCTCTCTCTCTCTCTCTCTCTCTCTCTCTCTGCGTGTGTGTGTGTGTGTATGTACACATTCCTGTGCACATAGGCTGCAACCAGCCTGCAAACATGTCCCAATGAAGAGACTATGAAGAGCCAGCAGAACCAGCTGTTCCTTTCCAACTCTTCCCTCCATCACCAGGTCCCACTCTTTTGCAGGCTCAGTTGACACTAGAGGACAGGGAGAGGGAATGGTTGTGCTCCTGGTGAGACGTTGCTTCCTTGTCCAGCGAGTGGGCGAATGATCGGGAAGAGCAGAGGCCGGCGCAGCTGTTTGACGCTGTCAAACCACGTGGCGTGTGTAGAAGAGTGCGGAGGTCGCGGTCCGGGCGCGGCTCGGGCCAGGAGGGAGGCCGACCGGAAGGGGATGCTGGCATCTCCACTCCCGGACTCTCTGGCAGAACTACAGAGATGCGCTCCCTGGAATCCTGGGAATTGCTTTGGGGAAGATTCTTGGGTGAGCTTTACAAATGCTCTCAGGGGTTGCAGGGCGAACGAACCTGGAGTCTGGTGCCCCCTAGTGGCCTAGAGATATTTGATCGTGAAGCACCTCGAGGCTCTGAGGGGCCTGCGGTGGCTCAAAACCAGAACACCTTTCTCACTGATCTCCTGATTCCCACTGATTCTCACTGATAGGCCTTCAGAATGCAGAAAAGGGGCCTCGGGCATCACTGAGGCGCAGTGTGGAGGAACACAGGGCCATCCTGAGAGTGGTCACAGAGGAGGAGAAACCCAGTTTAAAGTAGAACACAGGCTGGTGCAGGCAAGGTTGCTTAAACATCTGTATGTAATCCCAGCCCACGGGAGGCTGAAATGGCAAGACCATAAGTTCTAGACCAGCCTGGGATCACAGCACCAGATCTGGCCTTAAAGGACCTTTCCCCTGGAGAAGATCTATGTCTCCCTTCCCTGGCCACCATCCTACTAGCCGAGAGGAATTTGTAACCGGATCATCAGTTTTATTAAATGAGAGCACAGAGAGTTGTTAAGAGCCACCCAAAGCACCTGGAGTCACGTGTTTGAAAGTAGGCATTGGAAAACATAAAATGGGAGACATATATAGTATGCCAGTAAATTGAGACCCATGGTCTCATTCAGAGGTATATGCCCAGACACAGGGCATAGATTTGGGAAGCAGACAGGAGTCTGTCTGCTTGTTAGTGCACCACTTAACAGCTTCCTTGCCTCACAGTACTATCCCGGTCACAGTCTCTTCATTTGTAAGGAAGGGTGAGACCTACTGTGAAGCCCAATGTGTGGTACAAACCTGTAATCTCAGCACTGGGGGCGACCTGGAGACAGGGGGACCAAGAACTCACGGTCACCCTCAGCTGCGTTACACATAGGAGCTTGAGAGTCCCATCTGGGGTACCTGAGACAAGCAATTTTGTCTCAAGAATGAAAGAGCAGGAGCTCTGGGGAGAAACCCTAGTAGAAGTTTCTAGTAGATTAGTAAAGGGTCAGAGGCCACATGTATGCATAAACAGGAGCTACTGCTATCTACACATATGTTGAGCCTGGTTCTCAGTTCCCACGGGTCTTTGTTGGGGGGAGTACCTAAAGAAGTCTGTGGCAAAGACAAAAAGAACTAGTAAAATTGAAGTTAAAAAAAGCAAGGGTTGGGTGTGGTGGTTCATGTTTGTAGCCCAGTACTCAGGAGCCTGAGGCAGGTGGATCACAAGGAGTCCCAGGCCAGCCTGGGCTATGGAAACCTTGTCTCAAAAACACAAAACCACAAAACAAAGCCAAACAATCCCTTCAAAAGAAATGAGTAAGGAATGCCGACAATGGTAAACATTGATCTAAACTCAAAGACCTGAGCTTCAGATTCGACTGAATTTCCTGGCAGCTGAGGTGCAAAACGAAATGTGAGCACCAACATGGCTGCCCTCTCAGACGAGGGAGAAGCAGCTCTTGGAGGAGGAGCTGGGCGCTGTTCTGGTTCCTGGCTTCAGAAGCTGTGTCTCAGGGGGAGATGCTCTGGCTTGGCTTACAAATGATCTGAAAGGTTTCCTCTCCTGGGGGTTTCCAAACGCTTGAACAGGAGTGTGCTCCATCAATTGGAACTGTGACAACTCCAGTAGCAATTACATCCCTAACCCTTCCAATTCCCTGCTAGGTTATATGCTCACCCAGAGGACCTGTAGACTTGCAGCTTCCACGCCCAAGGAAAGAATTTGTCACCCACCCAGAAGCCTCAGGTTGACAACAAACCTCTTAAGCATATAAAGGTAGTTTTAGATTAAATAGCCAAATTCAAAAGGTTCTTCTTTTTCCATGGCCCAATTCCGGCCACACCACTCTCCCATCAAAGGTCATGGTCATCTTTCAGGAGCTTTTTATATAGGAAGTGAACAGCCTTTGCCAAAAAGCATCAGAGGTGAGCTCTTTCAGCCAACCACTAGGTAACTCAGCTAATCTGCAAATGCTAGCGTGGCTTCCAGGAAAGGCGTCAAAATAAGCTCCTGTCCTCCCTCGCCTTTACTTTAATCCCCACATAGGTTTTGCTTTTACCATATGGTAATTATTTCCAAATCACAAGTGCAAACACTCACTCTGATTGGAAAATTAGCAGATTTCAAACTCAGGTAATTTGTCCCTAATGAGGAAGTTGTTGAACTGAATTTAACAATTAACTCGAACACCCTTTGCTGCCTGCCGCTGAGGCAGGCAGTGGAAGCCGGAAGGGCAAGCCAAGGGCTAGGGTCCAGCAGGTGAAGGCTGGATGGGGAAAAGTGTGTTCGTGAGGCTCTTAGAACCTCAGAGACTTGGTGTTCAAGGAGCTGCGTGTGTGCATGTGTGGATAACATACCTACAGTTTTGACTGTACATGAAAGTAGAGAGGCTAATGTAGTGAGTTTCGCGCTAGCCGCAATCCACCTCCATTGCTGTGGGGAGGTGTATAGTTTTCTCAGATCTCCATCCCAGCGGCAATCTTGTTTCTTATGCTCCCAAAAGAGAAGAATTCAGATAGAATACAGTAATAGATAAGGCAGCGAAGAGTTTAATTAGAACAAGCAAGCAAGAAAGAACGAACACTTTATGGGTGAAAAGTGGGTCTAGCTAAACAGTCAAGACCCCAGTCCCAGCAGGCATGGGGCTTATATCTCTCCGCTACCTGTTGCCCATCTCTTGTACCTCTCCCAGTGTAAGCACTTCATGGAAAAGGATATGCTGTTCTTGGAAGCCCATTTTTACCCATAATTCAGTCCAAATAGATGTGTAAAACACAAAAATATTCATAGGGGCCTAAGTACCCTTAAAGTTGTTGAAAAGTTTACCAGGGGAAAGTGTGGCAGTATTCTGCATATGGTCCTTTGGAGATGAAGTCTTGAAGTTGCTTTAATCTGACCTCCCTAGGAGCACAGATCACTTTTTCCCATTGTCCCTTACGCCCTGGTTTGGAGAAGATTGGGAAGCTGGCCTATCTGGAGTCTACCACAGCCACTGTCTTTATATCCAGGTCAGCAGTTAACCGCCACCATTATCTTTAGACTGTTTCAGGGACCTGATCAAGACAGCCCATTGTTCCTTAGGCCTGCTATTTCACACTGCATTAGTGTAACATGATTAATAAAATCAGAAGTAGTACACAGATGTTGGCGCTATTGGTCACTATCTCCCGGAGCTAACCTCCTGTCACTCATGACTGATGTGATATCAGCTGTGCAGAGGGAACTGGAGATCTGGAAGACAAATAAGCAAGAGTACTGGAAAAAAATCAAAAATAGAAGGAGCACCCCCTTCTCTCTCATTCCCTAGCCTCCCACGCCCCTTGGCAAGGTGGACTAGATGAGTTTTGGTTAACGGCTAGGATAGTTATGGTTCCCTTCCTGGGCATTTTGCATATGATTATGTAGAGCTTTTCAAACCATTTTGTTTTACCCTCCTTGCTCCACGCCTGGGTCCCCTTGGTTTCTGCAGAACACAGCACAGGTGACCACAGACTGTAAGGATTTCAAGTTCACCCCAGTATAGGGGTCATCACTGTTACAGTGAGCTTCAGTGATCAACTCGAATCTCAGGATCTGGCACCAAGTTCGTGCTTGAGACTGTTTCTGTATTCTACTTTGCTCCTTCATCCTTTCTGAATGCCAGGGACACTGTCCAGAAAAAAAAAGCCATTAACCACATGTGGCTAAGAAGCACTTAAAAGGAAGCTAGAGAAAGCAAAGAGCTAATTTTAAATTTTGCTTACCTGCAATTATTTTAAAACCTAAAAATTGCAGCAGATGGTAGCACACACCTTTAATCCCAGCATTCGGGAAGCGGGGGCAGGTGGCTCTCTGAGTTTAGGGCAA